ATACATTAATGCATTCAACAAACTTTTTTTAAAAACTTCCTATTATGTGCAGAGCTTCATGCTAGGTACAATATAGAGTTTAGAATTTAAGAGATGACAGATCAGACAGCAGTGCTTCAACCAAATTTCTAGACCCTCCAGTGTTTATAATACAACATTCACTGCTAGGTCTCTCAACCTTCTGTCTTCAACATATAAGATCATAGGATCACAGAATTATATGGGACCTTAGAGATCATCTAATACAATCCTCTCATTTACAGACGGGGAAATTGGCAGAGAGAAATTAACTTGTTTAAGATCACACAGATAGTAAGTGGTAGAGTCAGGATGATCACCTTCCGTCTCTTTTCTTCTCTTCTCTTCATATATTATGTTAAAAACTATTTATTTTGTTTTTACATATTTATTTTATAGATGAATAAACAAGCATTAAAGGAGCCTAAGTGAACTTTCCAAAAATCTTTGGTAAGAACTTGGCTTTTAAATCTCAAATTTATCCTTTAATACCAATAACTGACATTTATATAGTGCTTTAGAGTTTGCTAAAACTTTATATACGGTTGTTTCATTTGAGCCCCCAAACAAATTTGTAAGTATTACAGTTATTATTATCTTGATTTTACAGATGAAGAAACTGGGGCTTAAAGAGTTTAAGGTCATGATCATATAGTCTAGGAAGTGAGGTTTGAACCCAGGTCCTCCTGACTACAGATTTATCATTTTTTTTTTCCCATTCTTGTAGATAATATGGCATAGCTAACCTTTTTAGGCTTGGAGCAAGGAAGAAGGTTGCTTGTTTAAACAGTACTCTTTGTTAGGCCAGGTGCAGAGTCATTTTAAGATCAAGGGCTTTTGAGGGGATGAGCAGTCACTAGCTTGGGGAGGTGGGGAGAGGATAGAGCTGGTCTGTAAGTTCCCTGATGAGAGGAGAAGCCGAGATAGTATTGGCAGACTATCCTGTACTTCAATTCTTTGATGATTTTCCTATCGTGTCTAGAAGAAAAATGGTTGGTATTTTAGCCAATATCTGATACTGCTGACAAATGATGATGGCACATAATACCACTTGCTCCTTTTCCGCCTTTTCAGATTTCCCCTGTTCTCAAATGCAAAACTACTAACCTTAAACTCTAAGATGGGAGGCAATGTGGTATAATGGATAGAACTTTGAGCGTGGAGTCAGAAAGACCTGGATCATTTAATGGCTGTGTGACCTTGGTCAAATAACTCAATCTCTCTGGGCCTCAGTTTCCTCCTCTGCAAAACGAGAAAGTGGGATTTGATGACCTCTCAGGTCCCTTCTAACTCTAAATCTATATAATGTTAGGACTTCTCCTTGACACCAAGCACAGTACCTTACACATAGCTGAAATAAATAAATATATGAAATAAATACAAATAGAAAGGTTGGAAATAAATAGCCTGGGGGCTTGTCTAATGGTCATACTAGTTTCAATCTACCAATAAGCATTTATTAAGGGCCTACTTTGTGCCAGGTACTGGTGCTAAATGCTGGAAAGAGTCAGAATTGGTACTTGGCTTGATATCTTGGATTACTTCATAGTCTGATACTAAAATGTGAATCATAATGGCTATAACCTAGCATTTCTTGCTCATCATGTAGTGGTGCTTAATTAATGTCTATTGATTTACTAATTTTAGATTATCAGATGAAAAGTTTTAAATAAGCACATAATTATTACTTATAACAGTAACAACATTAATACTCTCTAAATGTGTATCCACATGCTTATGTAGAGAAATACATCTTTATGTAAAAAAGCATAACAAGACTATACAGACTGGTAAAAATACTTTTTAAGGATTTTAAGACAACAACATATTATGAAATTTATGTTAATTTTCTTTTATGTGATCTTTCATATTCATGGAATTCTAAAATAGAAAATAAGCTCAATGTTTAGAGTTAACTCACTAGTTTAAAAAAACCTGCCAAATGATTGTTATATAAAACACATAAGACCACCAAGAACTTAACATTTTTTGCAGCATTTTGCAGTTGACTACAAAGTACTTCATATACATTGTCTCATTTCATTATGAAATTCAAGGTGAAGTATGGCAAGTATTAGTCTCATATTACAGATGAAGAAACTGAAGATATGAGTGACCTGACCAGGGCTAAGTGACCTATTTAAAGTTTTGTTGCTAGTTTGTTGGGGGAGCCAGAATGTGAACCTAGGCTTTCTGAGCCCAGAGCTACTTCTTTTTCTTTCCCACTGTTTCATCATATTTACTGCAATCTGGTATTTAGGAGAAGAGGGGATGGGAAGAAGGGGAAGGGAAGAAGGGAAAGAGAGAGACAGACAGAGACAGAAAGGGAGAAAGAGACAGAGCCAAAGAGAGAATTGATCAGTTCTCTTTTTGGCACTTTCTCTGCCTGTCTTAGAGATTTTTTTTGAAGGCTAAAATACTCTCCTTTTTTCAAGATATTAATATATTTACTTTTTCCAAAAGTATAACTATTTTGAGGAAATTCCCTGAGTAGAAGTTCCAGATTTACTTTTGTGACAACCTCTTTAGCCACATGACTTTCTCCAACCTTCTACCTCCTAAAAAGAACAAAAGAAAATTCTTTTTGGGGAGGGAACAAACCTTTCCCAGCTTGATTTAAATCCCAGAAGGATTTTTGGAGGGAAAAAAATCATGGAGAAATTACTTAGATATTTCTTCAAGGTGGGACAAATTTTTCGGGACTTTGAGGGGCTAAACCACAGCACATACATGGGACCTCCTCCCCCCCACATTCTCTTGCGTATTACAGCGTTTCCCCAACTTACTTGGCTACAGAACACTTCTGGACTTGAAACATGTATTGATAGAACCCATAAATGTTCATCTGGGGTGAAGGAAAGGGATGGGAAGGAAGAAAATTCTGAAGCAAAATAGATATTAAGCCTATTTTCATGCTGAAAAACAGCTCTCTGTATGTATTAAGTATTTTGACACCTACATAAAATTTGTACTTAAAGGGAAAATAGTGCTAATATTGACATTTTCCAGTAGAATCTCAGAACATGGTTGTCCTTCCTTGGAAAAACCATGAAACTTCAAATTCTAATCTAAATGGTTTATCTGTTCTTTTGTTTTGTAGGAGCAAAACAGGAAAATTCTGATTTTTAAAAATGATAGACATTTTTTTCATAAAGACAGGTGTCATGAATAACTGAAATTTAGGACCCTATATTCTTCTAATCATGATTTGTTCATTTGAGCTGGATTGGATATGCTTCGTGCCACTAATTCCAGCACAATGAGAATGTGCTGCTTTGCATTATTCTATGAAAAACTAGTATTGTAATGATAGCAAAATGCTTTGGAAACATGAAAATGTTTAATGTGTATCTCAATTTAGTTAGTAGACTGACTTTTGCCTCAGTTTGAAGGTATCCAACCTCCATAGCTTTGTAAGATATGTCAAATTTCTTTACAACAGTCTTCAAGGGCATGTCTAAATTCTTTGGTTGTACTGAAATTTTGTTGTACTGAATATTGCCTTTAAATAAGGAGACAATCTTCTGGGCTGGGTTTTATAAAACCATTTCTAATGCAAAGGGATTTGTTGTAAAGGTATTTGTTATAATGGAATTTGACCTACGATGATTATTTGGAATTTTCTTGGAGTAGTTCAAAGCATTTTACAGGGATCATCTAGTTTATCCCCCCAAAGTAAGGAAGAGGCAGGTATTATTTTCACTACAGATTGAGGACACTGAAAGGCTAAAGTTTTTGTTTAGGTTTTTTTTTTCCCCTTCAAGATCAAAAACTGAGCCTGTGGCACTGCCAGATTCCAGGTCTGCACTCTGACTAGCTCACTAATCACACATGCTATATGAAGCAGCACGACAGAAATGTGGCCGTTTTACCAGGTTAACCTTTCTGGGAGCAGTGGCATTTCTACAGGTACAGTAACTATGATACAGCTGACTCCAGATCTGCATGGAAAACCAAAAAGCAGATAATATGAAAACTTTTCAAATTTCTGGCAGTGGAGTATCATTTTTTTTTAAAGCACTCCATCACATGTGTGATCTGCAGTCCTAGCTCACTCACCTCCTTTACCTGACCTATGTGAATTTCTTGGTTTTGCTTAATTTTGTTGTCCAGGGACTGGGATGGGGAGGGGGCCCGGAGAGAAAATTTGGGGTCGTCCCAGATAACTGTTGATGACTGTTTGAAGAATTCTGATCTCTGTATTCCAGTCCTCGCTGTCTTTTCTCTGCAGTATCCCAACCAAATCAAGACTATTATCCTTTGCAGCTGAGATATCCTGTACCAGGACTGAGAATTCTACCCAGAGGACTAATTCAATTCGTTAAATTCTTAAATAGTCCTTGTTGCGAGGGTGAAGCCCTGTGCGAGGGTTGTAGGGGATACCAAGATGAGTATGACAGTCCCTGCCCTCAAGGGGCTTACAGCTAGAGGGAGTAAGACTGGAATATTGAAAACAACCGAAATTTGGCAGACTTGAGTAACCCTTGGGCAGACGAACCTTCTGGGGCCTCAGACGTAGGGCGGGAGTGGAATGACTGTGTTCCCCCCACCTCCAAACACCCCCCCACCCCGGCCACACACACAAACATACGAACACACACAAACACACAACCGGGGCATTAGAAGGTCACCTTCAAGGGCGATTGAGGGGGCCTGGGCTCCCATTTGCGGGGGGTCCTTCCTACGAACCTGCCCAGGGGTGGGGGGTGGGGTTTGCACCTGGGCAGGGCCTTGCCTATCGGGGCCCAGTCCCCGCCCTCTGGCTAAGGGCCCGGAGTCCCCGGGCTGGGGGGCGGGGGGGGCGGTGATTGACAGGCGGCGGCGACGGCGGCGGCCCGGGCTCCCGCCGCCCCATGTGACTCGGGCCAGGATGGCTTTGGCTTCGCCTTCCCCTTCCCCCCGCGGCGGCCGCGGCTCGGGCTCCGGCTCCGTGTGAGCGGCGGCGGCGGCGGCGGCTCGGCCGGGCCCTGGGCTCCGGCCTCATGGGGAGGAAGGGCACCCCGGGCCCCCACAGCGAGGCGGCGGACGCCGACACGGACGGGGAGGCCGAGGCGGGGCAGGCGGCGGCGGCCGGGGCCGGGGCCGGGGCGCAGGAGGCCGAGGCCTGGCCGCCCGGGGCCGGCCCGGGGCCGCCGCTGTGGCGCCTGCCCGAGGAGCTGCTGCTGCTCATCTGCTCCTACCTGGACTCGCAGGCCCTGGGCCGCCTGGGCCAGGTGTCCCGCCGCCTGCAGCGCTTCACCAGCCGCGACCTGCTGTGGCGCCCCATCGCCCGGGCCTGCCTCAACTCCGGCTTCACTCGGCACGGCACCGATCTGTAAGCGCGCCCGCCCTCGGGCCCGGGCCCGGGGAAAGAGCGGGGACGCGGGGCCTAGTCCGGCGACTCCCCTCCCGTCCCCTCGCTGGTCTCGGCGGGGGGTGTGGTCGTTGGGGAGCCACCGGGCCCGGCCCCGCAGCCCCCCTGGTGTGTCTGTGGTTCCCCGAAATTCAGAGCCCTGGAAACGGCCTCCCACCGTGAGCCTCCCTTTAAGTCCCCTAGATTTGCCCTTCTCCCCGCTAGCTACATCCTCCAAATAACCCACTCTGGGATCCCTTCAAAGGAGTGCCTGAGACCTTCCCAAAATATTCCTCTTGGAATACCATCATCCACCCACCAAGAACCATTTAAATTAATTTCCTTTGAGAGTCTCTCAAAATATCCTCCTCTTTGAGACTCCCTTCAAAATATGCTTCCCAGATGAGGACAACAACAATAATAGTATTCATACAGTGCTTTAAGGTTTGCAAAGTGCTTTACAAATATCCTGGTTTATCCTCAGGACAACCCAGGGAGGTAGGTGGTGTTATTACCCCCATTTTACAGATGAGGAAACAGGCAAGTTAAATGACTTGCCCAGGGTCACACAGCTCCTAAGTGTCCAAGGCTGGGTTTGAATTTGGGGCTTTTTCCACTCCAAGTCTATCACTGCACCCACACTGGCTGTCATTTTAAATGTAGCTAACCCCTGAGATTCTCTTAAAATAACTGCCTCTTGTAGACTCCCCCCCCCCCCAAATTCTTTCTGAGATGATTTTCAACATAGTTTTTTCTGAAGTTACCCCAAAATAATCTTTCCTTTCTTAGCCTGTCCATCAAATAATATCCAACTTTAAAGATCCCTTAGGACCCAGTCTGTCAGTGAGATTCTCACTTTGTGCCCCCCACTTTCCAGCATTCAGGGCCCAATGCTTCCTTCATTAAGTGGTTCTAGGGTCTTAAAGAGGTGTGTATGTATACGTATGTGTATACACACTAGCTGGATAGACTAGCTCTATGTGTGGCTCTGGTTTCCCCTCTGTCTTTGATTCTTACTAATTATGGTAGGGGTCCAGGTATAGTATCTGTGTTGTCATTTACTAGTATTACAGATTTAGTTGTGGATTAAGAAAAACCCCCTAAATATTTTCACAACCAAGGAGCATTTAGTCGGATGTGAAGAAATGGCGGTAGGAGTGTGGCTTGGGAATCTGGACCCCAAGAAGTTCTCCACAGCTATCTTTCTTTGCCTTCTGGTCCCAGGCATAGGCAGAACTTATAGAAGTCTGGAGGAGAAAATTTATTCTTGTGTCACACTTCTGTACCTAACAGGACACAAGAAGGTGAATGGGATGCCTGCTTGTGGCCTAGGACTGGTTACACATAGGTACGTGTGCTACATAAGACATATATACATATATATGTATATATGTTGCAGTTTTGTCTGTGCTGAAGAGAAGAGGGCAGGAAGAATGGAATTCTGAGACCTATAATTCAAAAAAGTATGTCCTGGACACGAATGGTTTAAATGACACTGAAAGTGGAAATGTATGACCTTTTTAGTTGGACTGGTCAGAGTGGAGAGTGGTGTCCAACTTTCCAAGGGGGGTCATTTTCAAATTGCCCCCTATCTGTATAACTAAAACACTTTTTCAAAGATTACCCATAAGGAAAGCTGACTGACTAAAATGATTGGAGCTCAGTCCAAGGAAAGGATTGGCTTTCTTTCCTTTCAGGGAGTTAAACTGATAGCTTGAAAATGCTAGCTTTTTTTTCTTTCCTATTCAATATACTTCTGAAAGGGAGAGGACTAAGATAGTGTAGGTACTGTAAATGCCAAATAAACTTTGCCAGTATTAAAGTGCTGTAGTCTATTCAATCCAATAGATATTTATTAAAGTGCCTGCTATGTACAAGACACTATACTAGATACTGGGTATTGATTATGGCTTTATTATTTATTAGCTGGGTCCTAACATGAGGTTATTTCTAGTCTCCCAGGGAAGTTGTTTTAATATAGCATTTGATCAAGAGCAAGGTCAGTGCTCCTTTCTGGGTTGAGGGGAAAAGTCGTATATGCTACAACAGGTGGGGAGAGTGTTTATCAGTGTGGTCTGTTTCTGGACAGCTGTGGGAGGGATGATAAGCTGCTAGAGGATGGTTGTCTTCTTTGGAGAAAAAAGGCTTGTGGTCTTCCCCAAGTTTTGGTGTGCAATGAGAATCATACCTCTGTGAAGATAGAGTGAGACAGCTGGTTAATACATTGTGTCATGCCCCCCACCCCACCCCCAAGACTGAACAAGTGAATGCTTTTTAATGACAGGAAAGCAAAACTTTACTCTTGTTCAATTTGATAACTTTTAAGAGTCTTGTTTCTTTATGTCAGCCTATTAAGTGAAGTTGAGGATTGGGAGTGTTTCTAGAAGGTGGAAAGAGGGAAGTAAGTTAGGTGCTTAATTTCTCACCTGTCCTGGTTCTTTAACTGGGGTACATAGGGTTACTTCAAATTCTGCAGTGGTATCTGTGGGCTTGGGATCTCAACTTAAGGTACCCGGTTTCTTAGCCCCAAGGAAACACAAAGGGATCTGGTTTACTGACCTTCCGGCCCAGGGCAAAGTAGCTGTTTGGTTGTTCTAACTGATCATAGCTCTGTTGATTAAGATGAACTGCTCTGACTCCTTTTGATTTGTTAATGGCCTTACTATTGTGCTTAGAGGCATTTTGGGCACTTAAAAAACAAAACCTGAAACAAATAATTTGCCTCCTTTTGAGCTCTTGCTCAAATTGTGCACATTATTATCATACATAATTCACAATATGTGGATATATTTTTTTCTGGTAGACGCTAAACGTTTTCTTACTAGTTTGAAATAAGTTTTGTTTGGTCTTTTTTTTGAAAGTTATTATGAAACTTTGGGGAATAGAAGTATTTTGAATACAATAATCAAAGCTAAAGAAATGTTTCTTATAGCAGCTTTTTAAGTTTTCCCTGAGGAATTTGGGAAATCAGCCTGGTTTAGTGCACTAGAACCAGAAATTGAAATTTAACTAGAGTTCATAATCAGGGGCCAAGGTAACAGGTGGAAGAACAGAGTTAGTACCTGGAAACTCCAAACAGTTAGCAATCTAGATTGAGATTTTAAAGAAGTTGATAAATATGTGGGATTTTAGAGCCTTCCAGTCCAAAATAAAAACCCCTCGAAAAGCAAACACTACAAGCAAAAGACTACAGCCTTGTCAAACCCAAATTTTAATCTTAGTATACTTTGGAAGCTGTTAGGCCAGTCTTCCAAGACAAGTGTGATAGAGTTGAGCAAAAAACATAAGGAGTGAGGAATAGGTTTGTTACTGGGCATGACTGTGGTGTAAAGATACTGAAAACATCAGTGAAACATTTAAAAAACAATGTAACTGCTGGGTAGTAAAGTTACTAAATTGTATTTAGCTAAATTGTTAACTAAATTGTATTCATTCATTCATTAATTCATTCATTCCTTCGCTGAGCTGAGACTGAATGTGTGGAACTCTTTGTGACTGGGGTATCCATTTCAGTGATGATTAACGTTTAGAGTGAAGAGATAGAAACAGATAAGCATTGTGTGTTTGTTTGTTTTTAAAATAATTGAACCTAAGAGCAATTTAAAAAAAAAAAAGGCATAAAGTTTCTCTTCCTATTTCCAAATACAGAACACTTTGCTGGCTGGTTAACTTTTGAATCTAACCAGTGTATCTCAGAAAAGTCACCAAACTTCTATGACTTGGGCACTTTTTAGCTTTACCTGCTGAAGAGGGGAGGTTTATGGATGTATTTATTGTCTTTTTTTTTTTTTTTGCAAAAGCCTTGTTTAATAGTTTCTGTGAGTTAATAAAAGCACAGTTCAGTTTACATGCTCAAAATAAATAAAACAATACACCTGTGAAAGCAGGAAATGGCCCAGTGAGACAAGTACCTCCAAAAGCAAATGGGGTTTGGGAGGAGGCCTCTTCTAAAATTCCGAGGGAAAAAAAAACCCACCAAACCCTCCTTTTAAGGCTTTTCCAGTCATGGAAAGCCTGAAAGTTAGAAAGCATTTGCTTACTTTCAGGATAATAGTAATAAATTGAGACTCTTAAACCCCACAAAGATGAGTTAGCCACATATGTTGGTGGATTTTTAGCCAGAAGAAAAAGAAGACTTCAGGTAGAGAGTGTGTTAACTGTCTTCAAGTATTTGAAAGGCTGTCATGTGGAAGAAGAATTGTTCTGCTTGGCCCCAGAGGGTAGAACGAGGAGCAGTGAGTTCCAAAAAGGTAAATTTCATCTTAATGTAAGGAAAAACTTCCTAACAATTAGAGCTGTCCAAAAGTGGAATGGACTGCCTCAGGAGATAGTAGTTTCCTCGTTACTAGAGGTTTTCAAGTTAAGCCTGATGACTGCCCGTCAAAGGATTTTTGGTCAGGCAAAGGTTGGACTAGATGGCTTCCAAAGTCCTTTCCAACTCTGATTTTATGAAGAGGGTGGGGACAGTTATCTTTCTTGTTTCTCCATTTTCTTTTGTCCCCTCTATCTGAATCTCAACTGCTTTGGAAATTCTCCTACATCTTCATTTTATTTTTTGAACACAGTTAATCTTGGGTGAAGACTGTGGTTTTTGTTTTTTGTTTTTTGTTTTTTTTTTGAGACCACAGTATGAATAGGCTTCATTGAGGGGAAATGTCTGAAATAAGAAAAAATTGAGCATCCATGTTGTAGAAGTATTAACCTTGTATTCCTTCTTCTTTCCTATTCCTCTTTTAATTAAAAAACAAAAACCCTATGGTAACTCTGAAGCTGATTTGGCTTTTTGTTCAGAATAATTCAGCCCTTGATCTGGGCTGAAACTAAAAGAGATATGTGTATGTATAGATTATTCTTCTTGAAATTGGACTTCTATAAAAATTTGGGAAGTTTAGGAGAAATAGAATTTTAACTTTTTTAGAGTTAGGGAGAAGATGAGAAATTGAATTTTGAATGAAAAACATGTATATAATATGTATGTATAA